TTAGTGAATAACTTGACAAGTCTGTGTGTGGGGACTTTAACAAGTAGTTTTTACCTCCTTTGTTGGGCCTGTTTTTCATGTGTAAAGTGGGGGGTGGTAACTGACTTATTCAGAGAGAAAAAGAAGAGAAGAGGCAATGACATCAGCCAGAAATGGAATCTTATATCAATTCAGTATTAATTCATAGCATCTAACGCCATCCTTCACTGGGAGTAGTTGCTCAACTTATATACCTAATGTCTGTTCTTTGCTTATAAAAATAAGTAGACCTTTTCAAATATGATTTTGGCTGCTGAAGTAATGCATCAAACTTGACTAGATCTTAAATAAGCAGTTCTTATGAAACAAGATTGATAAGATTATGAGGTAAGCAAAAATGTCCTCTCAGAATACTTTCCTTCCTTGTTCATAATTGTACCCACCCCATTACAGGGTTTAGCACAGTTTGCTTTTAGTCATTTAGCCTTCCCCCTAAGAGGTATTTAAATGAAAGGGAAGAACTAGCCAGCTCTGTAGAGCACCTGTCCTGAATACCCTTAGGCCCTGGATTAGATGGGGGAGGGGAGGAGAAGTCAGGTCTGGCTAATTTCCTTTTGAGAAAGTGATTTCTAAAGAAGGAGGCAATGCTTTACCAAAGGAGTGAATAAATTATTGTCACTTTTTAGGCATTATACAAAGAGTGCAAGTTCTTGTCAGCACCATTCAAATCAAATCACAAGGAGCTATGGTGCCTGCTTCTCCTTAGACTATGAGCTCAGTCTTGGTAAAGTGCTGCTGCCCATCCCCTTCCTCTAGTACTGGGGATTGAACCTAAAGCTTCAAGAGCTCTGCTCTTGAGCTATAGCCCTGACCTGCTTTATACTTTTTAAAATTTTGAGATAAGAGACTCACTAAATTGCCAAGGCTGGCCTAGAATCATTCTGTAGCCCAAGTAGGCCTTGAACTAGGAATCCTCTTGCCTCAGCTTCTCAGGTAGCTGGGATTATAGACCTATACCACAGGGCAGGACCTCTGAAAAATAGTGACACACAGATTATGACTGAATTGAATTAGAACCTTGGGGAGGAGTGGGACCTCTTGAGCCTAACTGCCCTAGCAACTGTTCGCACAGGATCTAAGTTTCTCAGGCCAGACTTGAACTTACTCTGTAGCTCAGGCAGGCTTTCTACTCTCCCATCCAAGTACTATCTAGGCCCTACCTTGCTTGGCTTCCAAGATCAGAAGAGATGGGGCACGTTCAGGGTGATATGGCCTTAGCTCTGTGCTCTCAATTCTCCTGCCTCTGGTTCCCAAGGAGCTACAGGCCTGGCTGTAGCTCATGCTGAGTGACCCACGTTCTCTGTGAAGTAGCCCAAAATTTTGTGGGAAAAAATAACTTTTTTTTCTTAAATGAGTTATCTTTCTTCTGACATCTTACAATCTTAGTTTATTTAATGCCAAACCAATCCTCATATATGTAGCTTATTTTAATAAGATATATAACTTACTGGGTTTTTTTTTTTTGCTTAAAAGTACATTTGTTGCACAAATAAACTTAGATATCATTGTGTCATGAGAGGACTGGAACTTTTTTCTAAGACCAGTTTAAAAAGAGGGAAAACCAGATTGTATGAAAAATCTTTTATATCATAACTAAGTGGAGCTAGCTAAAACATAAACACATATTTTGTACCTGCAAACATTTAACAGCCAGAGTTAAATACTCCAGTCCCAAAAGATCAAATGCTTTCTTCTGGCTTCTGTGGGTACCAGCCACACATGTCATATACTTACATACATGCAGGCAAAACATACATACACAGACACACAAATCTAAAAAACAGAAAAAGGGGCAGGTGTCGTGGTGAACAGCTATAATTCCAGCACTTGGGAGTCGGATCAGTAATTCAAAGCCAGCCTCAGCTACAGGTCAGCCTGGGCTAGGTGAGATCCTGTCTAAAAACAAAACAAAAAACAGAAAAAGACAAACAAAATTAAGGACCATTATCAACAATGACCATAATCACTACCCATGTAAAACCCTCATTGACCCTTTAGAAGAGAAATGTAATACCTAAAAACAATAAAACTGAAGACTGAATACTTAAAACATTTGAGTACTTCGCCCCTTAACTCAGAGACTTTACCAGCCATGCCTATGAACCACCCCAAAGGCAGATTTATGAAAAAGACCCAGGACATTTTCCCTGGGGTTTGGTAGTAGGGAACTAGACCAGACACAGATTAATTCTTCCTAAGGTCCTGCCAAGCCCTTGGAGTTGCTGAACCTATCTTTATCAATGATTCTCATAATAACTCCCCACCCCTACTCCCACCCCCACCTCCACTCCCTACCTTCCCTTCCCCTCCCTCTCCTTCCCCTCCCCCCTCTTTGTTTTTATAATGGAACAAAGGTTTTTTTTTTTTTTTTTTTTTCTTCTCTTAAGCTAGGCCAGTTTAGATTTAAATCAGCCAGTTCCCTGGGAACACACTATAGAATCACCTGGGAAGGATTCTTTTGTTTTTTAAATTTTGAGCTGTTGTGTCTCAGCAGTAGATCACTTGCCTATAGTACAAAGCCCTAGGTTTCCATTCCCAATGCTACACACACACACACACACACACACACACACACACACACACGTGCGCACAGCACGCCCAGGTGCAAACCCAATTCAGTTCAATAATAATCTGTGTATTAGGCAGTTGATAGTTACTAGGGTAAGCAGAGACATTTTCTTTAGTGGTGTAGCTGCTGGTAAATTGCCCATTTTCCTCACCTATGCTCCTGTAAGCAACCCAAATTAAACTATTGGGCCACCAAAAAGTACACAATAAGCAAAATTCAGTTACAATTAAACAATTTTAAAATAGTGCCACATGGCAGATAACAACTGTCCGTAACTATAGTTCCAGGGGATCCAACAGCCTCTTCTGACCTCCGTGGGCATTGCACGACATGGGTGCACTTACCTACATGCAGGCAATACATGCATACATATAAAATAATTTTTTTAAATTAAAAAAACAGTGCCTGGTAACTCAGTGGGTGTAGCACATGGCTGGCATTCACATGGCCCTGGGTTTGAATCCCAGGAACAATAACACATACATACACATACACATCTTACAGCCTAAGTGCCAAAGGATTTGAGGTTTTAGAACTAAGAGGCAACTCAGAAGACTGGCAGAGATAATCATGGGCGACCACTAGCTACCAAGAATACAGTTGACTATTCACAGGAGTTTGCTATCCTTTAGGTCAGTATAAAGGCTATCTTTGTATAGTAAAACCATATCTCTTTCTCTCCTTACCCCCCTCTCTGCTACATTGTTTATCCTTATGTTCATATCTTTTCACTTGTACTATTTAATCTAATTTGTAAATTTTAAAGGGAATCAGAACAACCGTGTTCATTGATTTCTGAAATAATGTGCAAGTTTTCACTCTTCATTTATTTGCACAGTTGTTCGGCTTTGCATGAAATGTGGGACACAACAAAGGAAGCCTTAATATTTTAGAACATTTTCCCTGGCCTTAGGAACTTACCATCTAGTTGGGCTTTGTATTGCCTACCTGTAACTTAACTACTTTGAGGCCCTGTCTCAAATTAAAAATGGGTTAAGGATGTAGCTCACTGGTAGAGCATCTGCCTAGTATGTGTGTTATGTGGCCCTGGGTTCAATTCCCAGGATAGGGGGAAAACAGCTTACCATCTCATTTTAATTAACAAGAACTATAGAGTATATTCAAACATGTAGTTTTCTTTCTGTTCTTTCCCGCCCTGTGATTTACTTTGTTACTGTTGTTTTGAGTCTCTTGTGGCCTAGCCTAGCCTCAAACTAGCTTTCCTCCTGCCTCACCTCCAGAGTGCTAGATCGTGCTACTACAGTGGGGGCTAAAATGCCCACCATCCCTAGCCGCCCAGACTAAGTAAAAACTTCCAAGAGTGGGGGCTGGAGAGATGGCTCAGGGGTTAAGAGCACTGACTGCTCTTGCAGAGGACCCAGGTTCGTTTTCTAGCACCCATATGACAGCTAACAACCATCCATAACTCCAGTTCCAGGGGATCCGTTGCCCTCTTCTGAACTCTGTGGGCATTTTTATATGGGTGTAGTTATGTACATGCAGGCAACACACTCATACATATAAAATAAAAATAATAAGATATTTTTTGAAACTCCCAAGAGCGATTTCACAGTTTATTGCTGCTTATTTAACCGAATTTTGAGGGTTTATTTTCTTACCACTATTGAAATGTAAAACTTGGGCTCATGGGACACATTGGGAAACAAACACTGACCTTTGCCTGTATTATTCTCCTAAAATGCCTCCTTTGAGATATCCTATAAACTGAGAGTTGGGAAATGAAGCAAGTGGGTCTTAAGTTTTGTTCGGTGTACAGATTACTGAGTTACTGTGTGATGGGGCAGGGGTGGGGTGGACTTTGGAATTGTGCTGGGTGGGACTGTTACTTGGTGTTTTGAATGTACCCCAACTCTTGCCAGCCATGTTAGAAAATGCTCCTGGTAGGAAGGTAACAGGGTTTACAGCTGTGCATTTTGAGACAATGAAAACGCAGGCCCTTTGGTGTGTTGTGTCTTTAAGTCTTTTATAAGAGAAACAATTTGCTGCTCGAGCAAATCAAAACTCGTTCTTCCTGAGCTTTTTCTTGTCTCAACAGAGTGGTGTTCCCCTCTAGCAGCAGACAAAAAAGCACACTTAGGTGTTCCCCTACTTCGGGTTACTCCTGGCCCCTTGCAGCCCTTAGTCCTTTATCTCTTTCAAAGTTTCCATTCTCCAGTTCTTACTTTTTTCTTCCGTCCCTCTTTTTTCCCAGCTAGCTCACCCCGCCCCTAGCAGACGCCACCTACTCTGCCTCACAGGCGGCTTTCCCGCTTCTTCTCCCGCCCCCCCCATCTGCCCGCCCTCCGCGGGTTCAGAAAAGTCCAATCAAGAGCGTCAAAGGCGTCGGCAGGGCCCGCCCAGTCGTCCCTTTCCAGCTCCCTACCCCCCCAGGTTCCCTCCCCCATCCCCCCACCCTCCAGTCCGGCGAACCCGGGGGCTTCAGGATCTGGGCGCTATGAAAAGTGTCTGCCCAGTCACTTCCGGTAAGGGCGCTGCGGCGCGAACCTCCCCCGTCAGACCGTTAGGGAAGGGGTGTCTGGCGGTGAGGGGCCCGCGGTGGAGGGTTCTAGAAGGGCAGGGGAGCGGGAGCGGGAGCCAGCAACCCCGGGAGCCAGCGTCCTGAGCGCCTCTGTCGCCTCTCCGTGAGCCAGCGCCCCCACCTCCCGGCACGCTCGGGTCCTCCTCCTCCCCCCAACTCCGCCGAGGTGACGCCGCCTCTCCCTGGGCGTCGCGTGACCGGAAGTGTCGCCATCTTTAGCCTCTTGTGCTATTGACAATAACAAGCCTTGGCTGCCTCCCCCTCCCCCTCCCCCTCCCAGCCCAACGTCTCCCCTCCCCGAGAGAGGGAGAAAAGGAGGAGGAGCTGCAAGCTTCACGGGCTCCCTGAGTCGCTCCAGCAGAAAGGGGGGGAGAGACACCGAAAAGCGGGGGGGGGGGGCGGCACGGTGGTTTACCTGTCTGCCTCCTCCTTCTCTCTCCCCCCTCTTTCTGCTTACTGCTGGGGGCAGCCTATCTGCCTTCCCAAGCCCTCCCATTCCCCTAGGTGTACCCCCCCCCACTTTCCTTCTCGTCCTCTGTGTTTCTCCTCGCTTTCTTCCCTTCCCCCTCCAGCATTGCCACCTCTCCTCCAGGCACGCAGGCATATATATCAACGTAGGTTTTTGATGCTCCTCTGCCTGTTGACCCCGCTATTTTCATGTTTCCAACAGGTTTTTCTTCCCCCAATCCCTCTGCTGCTGCTGCTGCTGCTGCTGCTGCTGCTCAAGAGGTCAGATCTTCCACTGATGGTAATACCAGCACCACTCCGCCCACCTCTGCCAAGAAGAGAAAGTTAAACAGCAGCAGCAGCAGTAACGGTAGTAACGAGAGAGAAGACTTTGATTCCACTTCTTCCTCTTCCACCCCTCCACAACCTAGAGATTCGGCGTCCCCTTCAACCTCGACCTTCTGCCTAGGGGTTCCACTGGCGGCTTCCAGCCACGTACCGATACAGAAGAAGCTCCGTTTTGAAGACAACCTGGAGTTTGTAGGGTTTGATACGAAAATGGCTGAGGAATCCTCTTCCTCATCTTCCTCATCTTCACCAATTGCTGCAACCTCTCAGCAACTTAAAAATAAGAGTATTTTAATTTCTTCCGTGGCTTCAGTGCATCATGCAAACGGCCTGTCCAAATCATCTACCACCGCCTCTAGCTTTGCAAACAGCAAGCCTGGCTCTGCTAAGAAGTTAGTGATCAAGAACTTTAAAGGTAACCAAGGCTAAAATCCGTAATCACCTAGTAAGGATTTGACACTTGAGCAGTCACGTGCGCTATTTATGTTAATATATTAAACAGTATAGAAGTCACCTAATGTTTTATGCATAGGCAATGAGTGGAGGGGAGGTCCGGTTTTTTTTGGTTCATTTTTCTGGGATGGTTTGTATCCTTGTTCGGAAGCATACTCTCTCGAGTGTGTCCGTGCAGCGCTTTGAGGTCTGTCTCAACATTTCTATCTGATCTGTTCCTGTAACATTGACAATCTACAGTATGTTTGATCCGGATTTTACAGGTGAGAAAAGTGTTCTAAAGAGGTTTGTTTCGGGTGCTTAGTGAGTTTTGACACTACTGAGATTTTTCTTTTTCTACGCCACCTTCTCCAGTCTCTAAAATGCAGGTATCAATGGTGTTATTTTCATGTTTAAATATGATTTATAATTAGATGTTTAGTGTTGAGTACTGTGTTTCTGGAACTCATTGTGGAGGCAGTATTTGGAGAAACATCTTTTGGGTTTCCGTGTTTCTTTCCAAAGATAAGGTTTGGAAATGAAAAATACTGTGTATACACAGAAGTAGTAAACTCTGTGTACCACTAGGCTAAAGATAGGAACACTTACTACATCATTCATCACTCAAACGGGGTTTAAAGTATTGACCTGTGGCTTTTAGAAAATTTGCTCATAACTGTATTTGAGGTAACTGATTGTGAGAGTGTTGTAACTGCATCAGTGAAAATATAAACTCAACATTTAAAGTGGATTTGAGCTATATTTTTATCTGTTCAATGTGTTTCTGTTTTTCTGACTTTTTCATCACCTTCAGCTGGCAGGTAATAGATGCTAGAATGTTTATTAAATGGGGAAGTAAAGGAATGAACTTAAGTAACATTTACCAGATAAGTGCCTTGTGCCTAAATATTGGCACAGAATTTGTTACGCTAATGCTTGCGTTTGTGGAAAGCCATAATGTGCTATTTGTCTCAAGCAAAGAGTTATATAGTGTTGTCTATTTTTAACCCTTTCTTTATGTTATCCCCGTTGCATCCTTAGGCTCTCAAGAGTGTTAGAACATTCTTTCTGATTTCTTAGTAGCGCTTTATAAAGTGAATGGAATTGTATTTACTAATTTGTTCGTTATTTCACTTAAAGCTATCTTTGATTGATTTAAAGGATTTTTTTTTAAAGAAACAAGCTGTGACCTTGGTTCCATTTGCAAATAGACTTCAGAGACTTTATTTCTCTCTTTCTCCTGAAGTAAGACACATTAAGGCGTTGGGAATCTTTAATTTGTTTCAGCTACTGCTGGCCAGTGAAGTTGAAAGCCTACATACATGGAGATGTTTCTTTCCATTTTGAAAATGCTGCATAGGTTCTGGACTTATTTGAATGTTAAATTTTGTGGTTTTTTTCTTTTTTATTTCATTCTGTTCACTTAAGACTAAGAAATGTTTCTCCATTTTTGTGATTGCTGCATTGGAATCCCAGCTTTGCCATTGAGTAGCTGTGGTGACCTTGGGCAAGCTTACCAAATGAGCTCCAGGCTCAGTTTCTTCAGTTGTAAAATAGGGGTGTTAATATTCAGCATGGGTGTTTCATTGTTGGGAAGATTTCTAAGAAGTTTAATAAAGTTATTTCACATCGTGGATCCTATTTTAAAGCTTGTCTAGAAGATTCATGTCAACTTAGGTTTTACACTTCATGGAATGAAAATCAGGATTGTTATTTTTATGTCATTCTTGAATTTTATTTTTGAAGCAATACAATCAATAGGAGAAAAAAAAACCCCTCACCTTCAGTTTCCATAGGTGAGTCAGAGCAACAGTATCTTTGGCATTTGAAGTTTTATTTATACTGAACTTAAATACAGTGGTTACATTAATATTTAGGTTTACCAGTACTCTTCTGTTTTATGGGTCTTTACTTACTAAATCCTGCATGTTATTCTAACAACAATTTTTTTTTTACGTATTATCTAGATAAGCCTAAGTTACCCGAAAACTATACAGATGAAACATGGCAGAAACTAAAAGAAGCTGTGGAAGCTATTCAGAATAGTACTTCAATTAAGTACAATTTAGAAGAACTCTACCAGGTATGTATTGGTATGAAAAATCAGAGCTAAATAAGGTAAGTTGTGATGGGATACATTTGTAGTTTACTTTCTCAATGTGTTCTTTTTGGTCCTATGGTAATTAATTGATACCTTCTATTTTGTGAGCATAATAGTATGCTCACATAACCTGGGGATACATAGTTGAACAGTTCTGTTGAGGACACAGGTATATTTTGGTATAGTAGCAGTTTACCTATAGTGGAATCCTGTAGCATAGATCCCATAACTACTTTCTATGGACAGGTCACTTCTATTGGCAGTTCTTGTTTGGTTCTGTTGCCCACCTATAAGAAAGACCTCAGCGTGTACTTCTTCATATCCTAACATCCTATGTTATGCCTCATCCTTTTTTTTTTCTAAATTGCATTTCTTTGTTTTCTGTGTGTGTATGTGTGTGGGCATGCTAGTATGGAGGTCAGGACAATATATGGGAGTCATTTCTCTCCTTTCACCATGTGGATCTAGGGAATTGATTGCAGATTGTCAGACTTGGTGGCAACCATCTTTACCTGCTGGACCATTTTGCCCACCCTATTTATTATTATTAAGAACTTAAAAAAGTTTTTTATTGCATTTGTTTCATGTGTGTGCATGTTTGTCACAGCACACGGGTGAAGGTCAGAGGACAATTTAAGAAAGTTTGTTCTCTCCTTCCACCATGTGGGTCCAGGGATTGATTGCAGATTGTCAGGCATACTAGCAAGCACCTTTACCCATTGAGCCACTGAGCCATCTTGCTGGCCTTTTTTTTTTTTATTTAATAACTTAATAAAAAAATATTTTTTTTGTCTTTTTGAGATAGGGTCTCCCTGTAGCCCCAGCTGACCTGGAACTCACTTTGTAGACCAGGCTGGCCTTGAACTCACAGACAGTCACCTACATCTGCCTCTGGAGTGCTGGGATTAAAGGCTTGTGCTACCATACACAGCAACAAATTTTTTTATTACATTTATTTTGTGTATATGTGCATGTATGCTTCGTGTACATGTGTCACAGGTATGAAGGTCAGAGAACAACTTGCAGAAATTGATTCACTCCTTCTACCATATGGGTCCCTCGAGGGATCGAAGTGTTTGTCCAGCTTGGTGGCAAACGCCTTTGCCTGCTGAGCCATATAACCAGCCCTCTTTTTTTTAAGAACCTAGAAAAGTTTATTTTATTTTATTTTTGGTCTTCTTTGAGACAGGGTCTCCCTGTAGCCCCAGCTGTCATGGAACTTGCTATGTAGACCAGGCTGGCCTTGAACTCACAGAGATCTTCCTGCCTCTTCCTCCCAAGTGATGAGATTAAAGGCGTGCGCCACCACACCCGGCAAAAAAAGTTTTTCTTTAAAGAACATTTTTTTATGTGTGTGTGAGTGCATGTGTGTGCACTTGCACATGTGCGTCACAGTGTTCCTGTGTGTGTGTGTGTGTGTGTGTGTGTGTGTGTGTGTATGAGAGAGAGAGAGAGAGAGAGAGAGAGAGAGAGAGAGGAGAGAGGAGAGACAGAGACACGGTGTGACAGCACATGTGGAGGTCAGAGGAGCTGTAGAAGTTGGTTGTCTATTTCCACCATGTGGGACCAGTCAGGTTATCAGGCTTGGTGGCAAGTGCCTTTGCCCACAGAGCCATGTTGCTGGCCTTGCTTCTTTTCTTTTTTCTTTTCTTTTCTTTTCTTTTCTTTTCTTTTCTTTTCTTTTCTTTTCTTTTCTCTTTCTTTCTTTCTTTCTTTCTTTCTTTCTTTCTTTCTTTCTCTTTCCTTCCTTTCATCAATATATTTTATTTATTATTTTATATGTAAGAATATATTGCTTGCGGGTAGGTAGATATACCCGGGTTGTACAATGCTCTCAAAAGTGAGAAGAGGGTGTCACATCCCCTGGAACTAGAGTTACGGATGCTAGTTAGCTGCCATGTAGGTGCTGAGAATTGAACCCCAGTCCTTTGCAAGAGCAGCCAGTGCTCCAAACAGCTAAGCCATCTCTCCAGTTCTGTTCTTTCTTAGTAGTATTTTGCAGTTTTATTCTTGAGTTTGTTGCATGTCCTTTTCTACAAGATACATGTTAGTCCAGAAATAAGCAGCAATTGGAGCCCAACAGTGTAGTCTGGAGTTCACATTTATTTCTCCTGCTTAAAAAAGTCTTTACTTAAAATGTTAAAGATAATGCCAAGAACAGTGATTGATTTAGATGTATTATTACCCAGAATTTGCCTCACTGTGTATTACACATCTACAACTAATTTGAAAAGTTATTTTCCAGGGGTTGCAGAGAGGGCTCAGTGATTAAGAGCACTGGCTACTCTTGCAGGGGACCTGGGTTCAGTTCCTAGGACCCAAATGGTGGTGAACAACTGTCTGTAATTCCACTTCCAGGGGATCTGATACCCTCTTCTGGCTGCTGCAGGTATTGTATGTACAGGTACACTTAAATGAATGCAGGCAAAAAACTCATAGACACAAAAATCCAAAACAATTTAAAATAAAAGATGAAATCACAAGTATCTATATTTTTCATAATACCTTACGGCTTCTGCTGCAATAAATTAATAAAAAAAAGAAAATCAGAAAAGGAAATAAAGGTATTTTATAATTTAGGTACTTGTTGGATTTCATTTCATTGAAATGTAACTAAAAAGTGCCCTTGAAATACATAGATTTAATAGAACTTCTGCACACCCAATCCGTCCTCTTTTCTTGAAGTAAACACTAGAATCTGTCTCTAATGTTTATTTTTCTGCATAAAAATAATTTTTCTTGCTTTAAACTAAAACATGGGAGTTCCACAGATTTTAATTTCTAGAAAAGCATATTGTTCAAGTGCCTCTTCAGTATGCAAATAATGTCTTTCTTAATAAAAAGTAGTTTTAGGATTGGAGACATGGCTCAGCAGTTCAGAACACTGGCTGCTTTTGCGGAGGACCTGGATGGGGTTCCTAGAACCAGCATGGGGGCTATCACCTGAAACTCCAGTTCCAGGGGAATCCAATGCCCTCTTCTGGCTTCCTCCAACATTGCATGACATGGGTGCAGTTACATACAGCCACAATACTCAAAAACATTAAAAAAAAATCAAAAAAATTTTTAAGTAATTTTAAATGGTAAGTGTTCTGGAGTTTTCAAATTACCTTTCTTGACAATGTTGAAATTCTGTGAGAGTGAGGCAGTGGTTCAAACCTTGCGTGGGTTTTTTTGTTTGCTGGTTATATTTTGGTTGAATAGAAATAGGACTATTGTTAAATGCATTAACTTGGGTTGATTATTGTTTGAGACAGTCCCACTATTTTACTTATGGTCTCACCACAGTAGCCCAGTCTGGCCTCCAATTTATAATCCTGCCTTTTCCTCCAAAATGATGGGATTACAGCTTTGTCTTAGAGATAGACCATTCATCATGAAACTGGGGCCAAGGTACTGCCCTAAGTCATGATTTACTACTTTGCAAAATAAGAAAGACTATCACTATTTGTATTACCAGGTTGTGATTGTAAATTAAATATTTAAAAAAAGTACTAATCCCTGCCATATAATGGTTCTCATTGATAAGAATTTGAACTTTTTTTTCTTTTTTTTTTTGGTCTTTTTTGAGACAGGGTCTCCCTGTAGCCCCAGCTGGCCTGGAACTCTATGTAGACTAGGCTGGCCTCGAACTCACAAAGATCGACCTGCCTCTGCCTCCCAAGTGCTGGGATCAAAGGCGCGTGCCACCACGCCCAGCCTAATAATTTGAATCTTTTTTAAAAAAATAATTTATTGAGAATTTCATATACGGATATAAGCATATAAGGTGTTTTGATCAAATCCATGCCCACTCCCTCCCCTCCAACTCCTCACATATCTCCCCATCACTTTTTTCTAATAAATTCATGTACTCTTTCTTCTTTATTTATTTTTATGAGGCTTTTGGCTACTCTAACATTCCCCTCTCTGAAGAGGTGACCATAAAATCTTTTAAGGATTAGGTACAAGCACCCAAATACTTTCAACACTTTTGGCCTTTGGAACAGAGCATGTTGCTAACAGGCCCAAGGACATTTTGACTTTTAGCCAAGAAACTGGCTACTTTGGGGTCTTTTTACCCTAACTGCCTAGCCAATTCCTGCCTCCTATTCTTATCACACCATCCTCTGAAGAAGTTACCCAAATTGCCAATAGGGAATAGGGATGCAGACCACTCTGGCTTCTTCCATGCCAAACCAGGGACACAGTGTGAGGCAACTGGAGTACTCCTTCAGTGGGTCTATCTAAAAGACTCCCAAATTGCATAACTCTTATCTCTAGGGGGATAAGAAAGTCCTTCAATCGTGAGTAGGGGATGTGAAGGAGAAGTAAAGGCAAGAGTAATTAGCATACAAGTTCTAGCCGGAGAACTAGAAAAAAGTCAGAACAGGGCAGTTTTCAAATGTTCATATGAGTCAAAAGCATCCCTCTATTGGGTTCTTCCTCATTTTTCTTTTGTCTTCCAAGGCTGGACTAGCTGGCTGGGAAGAATGTGGTCCCCTCTCATGACCTAGAATTGTGGTCCCCTCCTGTGAGCTGGAGCTGTGGTCCCCTCATATGAACTTTGGACCCCTACTTAGAACCATGGTTCCACATTCCTCTGGTGGTGAGGCTGATGGCTCCCCGTAGAGGGTCCATTTGACTCTTCTTGGCCCTCCTTTAATGAATGAGCACAACCGTCAACAAGCCCAGTTGTGACGATGTTTAGCTATCAGGCTCAGCTGAAGTCGTGATGATGGTAGTTATTTTGTGCAAAAGGGACTGCTGTACAGCATCATCTTATTAAAAGGACCTGGAATTTAAAAGGATTTGGTGCTAGGATCCACATATGAGGGAGTACATACATCGTTTGTTTAAAAGAAAGAAATCTTTAACCAGGAGTAATGGCTGTTGCCTGCAATCCCAGCACTCAGGCGGGTGAAGAGGGAAGATGATGAGCTTGATGCCAGCCTGGGCTACATTGAGAGAGATTGTCTCAAACAAAAGAAAACAATACAAGT